CGGTTCAGTGGTTCCAGAGATTACTTTCCACCACGGTAACTAACGACTCCTCTTTATATAATAAGTATAGCTGATATAGATTTATTTTTGTCAATTTGTGTGTGTAAGCAGGTAAACTTGTGGACCTCTTGTGTGTCTTTTATCGTACATGGTACACCACATTTTAGACTTTATTACGTTTACTTTGTTATTTGTTAATATATATATATAATTGTATAAATCATTAATAAATCTCTGGAATTTTCGCTTATGATAGTTACTACAAAGAATATTATATTATATTATGACGTTTTCGGTACCTATAAATAAATATAAATAAAAATAAATTGTCTTATAAATCAAATAAAAATCTTAATTTATGTTTGGAAATAATTTTTAAAAATAATTTAATATTATTTGAATATTACCAAGTTACCTTTTTGAATAAAATCATATATTTTATTTGTCTTCGTCATCATTATTATCATATTTTGAGTTTATTACATTGATAAATGACACCACATATTTTTAATTTTATACTCCTAATCAGAATATTTTTCCTAGAATTTAAATATATTAAATTCAAATTTGGAACAAGTAGTTAGTTATAGGTACCTAATTCACTAATGAATTCAATTAGGTATTAAAAACATAAATACTAAAAACGTTAAAACTTTTCAGGAAAATTAGTTTTTACGTTTAATAGAATCGCTCTGTACCTACATAGTGTAGGTACTTATGAGATTTATTTTAATTCGGTGATTTCAGCATTTTTTATTTTTCAAAATCTATTGTTGGGTATTTTTTCCTGAAGATTTGGTCCATTTTAGTTCAAACACCCCTATAGTAGAAAAATCACACTACAGTTTGTTATCGTCAAATCCTAGTGTAAAAACAGATAATTATAATAATACGTATGCATGAAAATATTATTGTTAGGCTCAACAAGGTTTTTGTTCTTTAATTTCGCTTCCGCCATGACACGATATATAATATAATATAAATATGTACTTTGTCCATTAACGATATTACGTCAAAGTTCAACGAAAATAATCTGCACAATTTTGATTGAATATTTTATATAATTATACTGACGTCATATAACATTTATGTGTGCGGGTGCGTTCACTGAATAGGTTAAATTTATATTTTAATCGATAGTAACATTATTATCTAAATTCGCACAGTCACGAAGCATAACAACATATTATATTATAAGTAAGTTATAATTTAGATTTTAGGTTGATTATACATGTATGGGTGGGTGGTAAAATATTTGTTTACCAAATTAATTACAAACAGTAATTAGTAATTATATTTGACACGGAGTCAGTGAATATTGAGTTATTAATCTATGATGCTTCATGTTAGGTATAACTTATAAAATATGTTATAATTATTAAATTATTCGTATGATTACATTATGTTAAATTATTTTAGTTTTAAACAATATACAATATTCTATACACGTGTAACACACCTACCGTTCCAAAAAACCTACAGTTCCCTCTCAATGGTCTATGTTGCCGCGGGATAATTAATAAAAAAATAATAATAATAAAATATTCTATACCTACTAAAGGTTAGTGTGGCTTATTAAAAAAAAAAAATACAGTTAAAATGTGTTGCACGAATTAATTTTAATAATTTATTATTCTTCGTAAATAACTTAAATTGTTTTTATTAAATGTCTTATCATAATATTGTATTGCATTCATTTTAACCTACTATTAGGTTAGAAAAACGTGAATGAAAATAACACAATAATAATGAGAATTTATCGATGAAAGTGGTTACAATTTAATAATGATTTCATGTTTTAAAGTCATAGATTATCACACAATATAGATTCTTCTATTATCTATATTCAAAGTAGTTTCTCTCAGCATCTACTTATTGTCGCATACGACACTTCCATTCTTGAAATACAACGCTGCTGATGATCCAAAACCTTTTTAAAAGTCGTTTTTATCTATATCTACATCAAAAACCGATTGATATTGGATTTCTCCGAACGAACTTTTAATTTTAAGTAACTAAAAGGTAAAAGTTACAAGAAGCTGGGTCTAATGAATAGGAGGGGAGGAGTTTGAAGTACAGACATTTTTTTTCAGATCTGATGGCTAGAAATCCTTAAAATGTTTCAACTATAATAATTATAATTCCCCTGATATAAAAAAATACATCAACCTGATCGATTATCATCTTCTTCACGTCACTCTTTCGCTAAAAAATAGTTTGAGCCAATCAAAAACGTGAACTCATTACATAATGCATTCTTAACAACATTAAACTTCACATCACATTCGGAAATATTCCGCAGAAATGCTGTTAAATTTAGCAATAATTTAAAACATTCGGTTTATTTAAATAAAAAATAATACTGGATTAGGTACCTACTTACACTTAATAAGTAAAATAAGTGCTTCCTAATGATATTTAAATAATTGTTACCTATGTATATGTTTATTATAATGTTAACAGATTGGGTTTTATTGAGAAAGTATTATTATATTTGAGTCACAGTTGTCACACACTCGCACATCGTCTTTAAACAAAAAAAATAAGAGGTAGTTAAATAATATAGAAAATACATTCACAATTTTTTTATATAGCTAAAAGAATTTAAAAATGTTTAGTTTTATACTTAAAGCTTGAGACTTTAAAACAAATTCATCATAAATTATTACTGGAATTCACGCTTATATAGCTTATCCATAAAAAATAACGATTTTAGTTATTTTGTAATATTCCAAAAAACATTAACAACAGATACCTTTACCTTGAAACACTCCACTGTCTATCACATAATTAATATAATATTCCATTATCATTTTATGTCGGCAAACAGTTTAATTTTATTTTATTTAGTCTAATTTTAAGCTATTTATATAGGCATCTGAAATGTTGATTTTTTCCATATAAATATAAAAATTGTTTCCAACGACACTCGTGCGTTGTGCTCTTTTCAACATACGCACGGTAATTTTACGGGACGAAAAAATACCACACTATAAAATGTTCTTATGTTTTCAGCCTATGTAAATTGTAATACTACCTACTATTGGTAGGTAATTAAATTTTTATTTTGTTTTATTATTTGATCGACAAATACGAGTTTTATGTTGAAACACATTATATATTTTTTAGTTGATCAAAACATACATAATATAATAATATTCAACTACTTATACTTTTTTATGATTTAAAAAATACATAATGTATGGATGCATATGCTTTATATTTTGGAACTATTAAATTATTTGATTGTAATTGCGCCTTTAAATAAGAAGTCTAAAGAGCGGTGGTAAGCTCACCCGATTTTGAAAACTAATAAACTCTCCCGACGGTAAACTTTCCCGGGTCAACATTATGTTTAGGTACCTGGAGGAAATTTGTTAACTCTCTCAGGTCAACATTATGTTTTCTTAAAGAAAATGTATAGACTCTTCATAAACAAGTAATACAATATTGTTAGAAATAGAGTCTAACGACTAACACACTGTTTCGCTCTAAAGTCGTCTAAACCTAGAATCGTATTTTTTGGAGGTAGGTATCAGGTATGCACTGATTTCAAATTTAACACATCCATTGAAAATACCTACTCAGTACTCGTTGAAATACTTAACTAGTTAAGTAGGTACCTTTAAAATAAATAATTAACTTTCAGACATTAACAATTTATACAAAAACAATAATGTTCCGGTACCTAAAAATAATTTAATTGATCCAAACAGGTTGCAATTAATATCATTATTTTTACAACCACAAGTCCATAACGTATTCACAAACACAAAAATAATATTATTTTATATTTACTTTAGATTTGATAACTATACCTCAAAAACCATATCAATAAATAGATTTGTCTTTTATATCGTAAATTTCTAATTAATATTATGATGGCTAGGTATCACACATAATATTTTCATAATTTTGAGAGTTTTGAATCTCTGTAATAGTCACTTACTCATAAGTAAAACTAGAAACTTCATGCAATTAAAAACCTTAAAATATGCATCAATTTATTCCCTTAAAAATATTCACCTACCCTATAAAAATATTCACAATCACTTAAATATATGCTCTTAAAAATAGGCATGTCTTAAAAACCAAAACATTTTGACTACGCCTTTTATGAGAAAATATTTTTATTGATAATTTAATAAATATTTATTTTGTAAAAATTATACATGAATTTACGTTATATAAAAATTAAATTACCTACTATAGACTCCTGGTATTATGAAACAGATTTTTATATCACTATAAGCTATGTTTTGAATGAATATTAGAAAACATGCAAACTTCTATAAGTCCGTAGCCCTAGTCATGAGCATCAACCATCAACAAATTACCTACCAACCTATTGAACAAATTTCCAATAATAACTAAATAGTAAGTATTTAGGTACATAATAACTTAGGAGTGCCGAGTGTTCCCAAAACAACTTTAACAGAATATTAAATACACATTTCAAACTATAATATGATAAGCATAATATTTTCTATAGGTACTTTATTTTGAAGTAAAAATCATAAAAAGTTTAATAATTGTAAATAACAGTAACAATAATGCATAATAAAAATAAAACCATAAACAATAATTATTTACATGTATTTAATTAAAATTAAATGAGCGAGGTTAAGTATTTAACCTTGTCAAGGTAAGTAGGTACAAAAAGGATAAATAGTTTTACATAAAACAAAATAAATTAACCGGTAAATTAAACATAACATAATATCATAATTCAATAGTCAAATTAATGTATCTTTTTGTATTTTTTGTTTTTTCAGGCATTTGATGTTATTTGTCTTACTAGGTTCAAATAAATTTTTCTATTCTTTTTTTTTATATATTTATATTGGAATACATTTGTATGTATATTAATTACTAATAGTATATAATTACAAGTTTAAATCAAAAGCAGAACAGATCATTAACAATAAACATCTGTTTTCTAATAATTGATTTACTTGTTAGTGGGAGTACCTGTTATCTAAAAAATGTAGACATTTTTTTTATAACAATAATTTAGTTTCAATAATTTGACTAATTTTTTTTTTTTTAATTTTATCTTGTCGAGACTGCAGGTAACTTCCAGACATGGCTAACAAACGGTAACGTTGCTTAAGATTTTTTGCTCTAGCATGTTGTGATGCTATTTCTGATGTGTAATTTCCAGGGAACCAACCTTTCTCACCATCACGAATCCGCTCCCCATGGTACCATCCTATAATAAATTAATAGTTTTATAATTCTATTGTTAATGTCTACATTTAATTATTTAAAAATTATTTTAACTTGCAATAAAAATATTACCATCATTCATTTTAGTCAAAACTTTTACAATGTCACCATTTTGTAATGACAGTTCGTCTGGTTGGATAGCAACGTACGGGTGTTCTGAAAACACTTGTGGACAGTCCCATTCATTGTATAGTGTTTCTTCAGGATTGGAGCTGATAGGAGGGGACATTGCTTCAATCCAACGTTTTTTCGAAGATTCAGAATCACAACTCAATAACTGTAAAATTATTTAAATTTTTAAAACAAACATGTCTTACACAGTTAAACCTAGATTTAAAAATCAGAATCTTAAATACCATTTCAATAGTCTTTGCTTCATGGTTTTCTAAAATAGTTAGCTTCAAAAGATTCTTATAGGATGAAGTAAGTACGGATTCAGTAGTATGTTCCATTTCTACAAAATTTCTTGCACAGTAATCCACCACTGTATAGTTTCCGTCACTGTAAAAATATAGGTGTCAGTATTTTCATTAGTGTCATTATATTTATATACATTGAAATACCTTTTGCGTTTTGCTATGAAAAACATATCGTTGAATAGGAAGAAATAAAGTTTTGTTGGTCGTATCATTTTTCGGCTAAATGTTAATTTTCCATCAGGAACAGTCAAATGCAACATAGAACCAGAACGAACTAACCAGCGTGAACTAGAAGCTACTGACATAGCTTTCATTTCTTTTTTACTAGAAAATTCTAATTGTTGACTAAGTAACAACATTTCTTCATAACGTTCTAATTTTCTAGTACTTTCATTGCAGTTTTGTACAATCTAATACAAAGTAAATATTTAACAAGTTATTAACAATAAATTTAATGTTTGTTAAAACCTAAGTTGAAACAAAACTTTATTATACATACAGCATTTAAAGAAGCTAAAGTGAATTCACACATTTGATATTCCAAAGAATTTTCTTTTGAATCCATTTGTGACAAAATAGCATCAACAAGCAGAGGTAATCTAGTTATTCTTTGCATAGGTAACATTAGGAACGAATGAAGAGAGAGCGATTGGCACTTTGGATCTGATTCCAGTCTTTGTAAAGCTTCATTGAATTTTTGATTCTCTCTAAAATAAAGTTAAGCATTTTTAAATTTTTGCTCTAATGCTTATTTAGTATAAAATATTTTACCTTAAGCACTTTAAAGTGCGATCTATATAAATTTGATTTGAGCAATATTTTACAAAAATGTCAAAGTTTTCTTTAGAATGTGTGTATAAAATTTCACTAAGTCCACTAAGCAGTATGTTGTCTTGCCAACATTTTTCTAATGCCGCTAGTAATTTTTCAGAACATTTTCGTACTAAAACAAAAAATATTTTACAATTTACAACCTGCAATAATTTTTATTCACGATAAACATATTGTGATTTACTTACCCGGATTAACATTTCCAAATAGAATCTTTTGATCTTTTTTACTTAATATTGTATCATCATTCATTGAATGACTATTTATGAAATGTTTCTCAAGGACAGTTAGAGATTTAAAATAAGATGCTTCAGAAGTTATTAATTCAAACTTGGCTTCTTGTAACTTTCTCTCTCTTGGTGTTAACGATTCTATTAAAATCGATAACATAAGTAATATTATTATGTTTTCTTCATTTTTATAGTTATTAAATAACTTACCTATAATGCCACTATTTTTTACTTCTGGAACTTCACACCATAAAGATCTATGTTGCCCATGACCGGATGTACAAGGTGTTATAAGCTCTAGAGCAGATGGTCTACTTGTGATTGAACTAATTTCTTCATAACCATCACAATCTTCCATCATGTCACCAGCAAAAACACTTTTTGTCCTCTACAAAAACAATTAAAACTCAATATTAATATTATCAGATACATAGGTAGGTAATTCATTGATTTATAAAATACATATATGAGTACAAATATCTTCAAATAATAATTTTAAAATAAAACATACTTCAGATATATCGGCGGCATAAAACTGATACAATGGTTCATCAGCAAATCGCATGTACAAATCAGAACCTTGATTTGAACCTATGAAATAATTTGAGGTATTATAAATATGAAACTACAGTGGATAATGATTTAATTTAAAATAATACCATTCTCAGATGCTGATTCAGTGCTGCTTTTGTCCAATGAATTGCCTGGCCTTCCTTTAGAATTGTAAATTGAACGGGGCAATGAACCATACGTGGTGTTTCCTAAAATATTATACATAACAGTTATTTACATAATATAATGGTTGAAAAGCCTATTGATGTAATCCACAAAAATGAAATTTTTCAGGAGGGACTAAAATGTCAATACTCATGTAAACAATTATTTCAGAATTGCTACATTGTTTGTTCAAATTTACAACCAAAAATTAATTTTAGGAATTTGGACTTATGTATATTGAGAAAAATGTGTATTTGTTGTTTTGTTTATGGAGAGGCCAGTAATGTTATCCACAAAATTAAAATTTCTCTGCAGGAAATTAGGAGCGACTAAAACGTTTATATTTTTGAAACTATGATTTGAAGGTATTTGAGGCGCGTTCCGGCGGCTTTAAAATTTGACTGTGACGACAAAAATTCGTTCTTCGAGGCTTCATTAAATGTCATGTGGCAACATTTTGAAATTTATTTGAATCAGCCTAGTAGACGGTCTACTTACATAAAAATAAACCCGCTGGGTTATGTCGCGTCTGTGTGCATGTATTTTCGGCCAAGCCAGCCACGCGGCATCGATACTTCGGTATTTTAAATCATTATTAATATCATAATAATCGAAAGCCAATTGCCGCATTGTGTGGAGACGTATTTGCCGCGAGGCACGGGGCACTTGGGGAAAATGTGTATATTTTTTTATTTCTCTAACCACTTCAGTGGCGTATTTGAGAGGGAATAGGGGCATTTTACTTTAAATTTTAAGTCTATAAAATAACAAAGTTATGATATGCCTTACATGACCACATATCACTGATAATTTTAGATTCTGAGTGGAACGATGAATGTATTGATTTTTACAATGATGTGTGTTTTTTTTTTAATTTTTTTTTTGTGTCTGTCATCACATTTTAGGACAGTAAAAGTGCTTGGATTTTCTTCAACAGTAGCTTTTCTGATAGGAAATGGAATCTAGTTGTTACTTTGGGGGGTCAAAAGTAAAAAATTCCAAATAGTTTTCAAAAGTACCGTGAAAAACAAAAGAAAAATTAAGGAAAAACTAGAATTTTTAGGTGAAATTAGTTTTCAAAAAATCTGTTTTGGTTTTTGGTGCAACTCTTAAACAAATTACCGTAGGCACATGAAATATTGACTGAATGTTTATATTAGCATTTTCTATACACGATAACATTTTCAAAATGTTTTGATATATTTTTAACTGTTTAGGCATATTTTCATTTTCCATTTTTTTTTTAGTTTTTTTTCTAAAAATATAAATACAATTTTATTTGTTAGTTAAACCTTGAAAATTTAATACAAGACTCCTACTATATTGTTACAATGGCATTTGAAAAATATTTAAAATCCTAAGTCACAGTTTTTTTTATAGGCATTTAAAGTTCAAAAATTGATAAAATATGGAAAAATCACTAAAATAAGCAAATTATTTTGAGTTAAGATTTCGTAAAAATTTTTCTTTTTAAATCTAATGTTTTAAAATGTAAAACAAGATTCCTTATAAGATTATCTACCTTTATCAAAAAAAAATGTCTATAAGAAAGTCGAATTAAATTTTTATGAGCGTTTGAAATTCAAATTTTTACAACATTGGATATTCACTCGATTTCTCATGTAGCGATTTCCTTAGTTTGTTGTGATTCAAAAACGAATAACTGTAGATACATGAGAATTACACTGAATATTTAAATTAGAATTTCCTGTACACCATACAATTTTGAAAATATTTTGACTCTTTTTGAGCTGTTTACGGACATTTTTAGTTCTTTTTAGTTTTTTATTCTATAAATATCAATAAAGTTTTATCTGTTGGGCCAATAAGTGTACAAATTTAATACAAGGATCTTGATATATTGTTACAATATCAGTTGAATAATATTAAAAATACATTGCCACATTTTTTTTTTATAAGCATTTAAAGATCGAATTTTGACAAAATTTATCAAATTTAAAATTGAATAATTATTTTGTAGTTAAAAATTTATAAAATGTTCAACTTTTATATCTAAGGATTGAAAATTTAAAACAAGATTCCACGTAAGTAGTTAATTCTGTTACTAAAAAAACTAAAAAATACTTAAACACAGTTTATTATTATAGTCATTTTAAGTTCAAATTTGGACGAAATTACATATTAAAATCAATATTAACGTTTTTTGTTTTTGTTGTAATTTAAAAATATTATTCGGGGATATATGAAACTAAAAAATCAAAAAATCAAAATATTATGGCCTATACATACAATCTACCAAAGTATATAATGAATAAGAAGTATGCTCTATGATAAGACTGTACATATTTTTTTTTATTACCATTGATATGTATATAATTTGTCTTAAACCTAGACTGACATACCGTCTCCGCTCAGAATCGTTTTTCTCATACAATGATATTATATCATTGAATTCAAATTTAATACCATTCATTATACAGAGACCCACTTGTAACCTACTGTACAGCAGAGCACCTTTTTAAGTATAATTTGAATTAATAATTTACAATATAATTTTCTCATCTGCTATAACTGACTAATTGCACACTTATGTCCAAATAGTGACTTGCTCATTTGCTTATGCATCATAATTTCATTATTTTGTAATGCTTTGCTTTTTAAACTTATGTTAAAAACTTGGTTGCGATCGAGTATGGGACAAGATCGCTAGTTGGATTGGCTTTAATAAATATTCATAGACACAGGGACATTCAAATAGATGAGGTCATTGATATGTTTCCTGCCACGAAAAAAAAAAATATAGACCTTAGATTATAATTATTTTGACTACCTATGACTAGACTATAATATTATATACAAATTTAAACTTTTGAGCAACAAATAAGGTGCTTTTATTGTGTTGAATTTATTTTGGATTATAACTGAACAAGTTTGAACCAGTCTCTAAAACCCTAACCAAATAAAAAAAAAAGATTGACTATTGTATTCAAATTTCCTCATATTTTAACAGCTGAGAGATTTTCGTATTTTGCCCTCCCTGAAAAATTATCTCAAATACGCCACTGAACCACTATCATTATAAATTAAAATCACTATTTTGTTTTCTATTTGGGTTACATCACTTGGCCTTTCTACTGTCCAACTATAATATTTATGTCCAAATACAGATATTATATAAAATTAATAAATATAACATAATTTTACCAGTTGAATGTCGTTTTACTGGTGGAGGAGGTGGTGGTGAACTTGGTCTTGCTACAGCTACACTTAGACGTCTCGAATCAATAGACGATGGTGGTTTGCTTCTAATCCTTACAGGCCGAATGTTACCATTATCTCTGTAAATTAATATTTTATTTTAATTGTAATGCATTGGATATAATATATTAGATGTCATGCATATGTAATCAGTGGCGTATTTAGGGGGGGTGTCCTGGGGGTTAAACCCCCCCCCAATTTTTTTCTTAGTTATATTCATTACTGAAGTATCACAAAATACGAATAACGAAATATTTTAAAACTGCTTTGAAAAATGAAAATTGAATAATGTATATTTTATATTTTCATCTTATACCAGATAATAGTCAATAGGTATTAGCATTGATTATATATATTGCGTGTATATATATATAAATAGCTCTCTAGGTGCAGCCGTGCAGGCAGTGGCGAAATAACAGAATATTGTGAACTATGTAATTCTTAGAATTGTATTATCGTTTCGGCTAGCCGTATTATAGGCTATCGCCTTATTATCTTTCTTCAAATACAACAATTATTATTATCTACGATAGCAAAAGACCAACGATATAAAGTGTACTATGTACAGTTGTCAGTTGACAGTTGTACACTCGAAGTACAACAATACGAGACGAATTGGCTGTAAAAAAAAGACGTCTACCTTTAATACTGTGAGGTTAAAGTTTTGAAATTTTAGTGTTTTTTTTTCTTTTAATATATCTATAATATTATATAAGTATACAAAATAAATTAAACTCATACGAAAAAATACTCAGTAAATTTAAGTGTTAGGCCGGGGCTATACACGGCGTATTCCGCCGCGTTTCGAACGCCGCGTTTTCCGTCGAATTAAAAACGTATTGGTTTAAATCGGAGCAGCTATACACGACGGGCGTAATACGCCGCGTTTTCCGCCGCGGTGGAAAACGCAAGCCGAACGGCGTTTTTTGCCGCCCCGAAAAACGCGGCGTATTACGCCCGTCGTGTATAGCTGCTCTGATTTAAACCAATACGTTTTTAATTCGACGGAAAACGCCGCGGAAAACGATGCGGAATACGCGAAATACGCCGTGTATAGCCCCAGCCTTAGATTGGTTTTATTTTATTCAGTAAAATTGTTTATACTTTATTCCTGTCATAATTGTATTATAATTAAAAATGTAAGTAGCAATCCTAAAAACATTGAAGATAGTTATTATGGGACTATATACAAAATATGTCAGATGTATTTTTAAATTTTGAATACTTACATGATATGTTTATATATAGGAATATAAAAAACAGATGAAGACGACTATACTATTCGCCAACGAATTTAAACTTTTGTCAATACTTTTATCTGATGTGCTCTCATATGTTCTATTGTCTATAGACCACAAAAATGTTCATTATGTACAATATATTAATTATTCAAACTTTAAAATCTTCACTCACCAAATTCATTCGTTAAATTTCCTTGACTTAATTTTCCTATCCGATTTTTGCCAAGTGATTTAAGTGATCCAAATGACCACCCTTTTTTAAATCGTTTCCTGGCTTTATTGACCAGTGGGCCAAGTCCGTAGTTTCGTTGACCACTTGGCGGGGCTGGCAAAACTCGATCTTTACATGGATATTCTGGTACCCTTTGACATTTGCTCCGTCATCATCAGATGAATCTGAACTAAATGAATCGAAAACATAGATATTCTCCGGTATTTCTTGGTTTACAGTATTCCCAATATCTAATGAACACAATTTTTTTTATAAAATATTAGACAGGTAAAAAAAAATATATTATATTCTTTTATATTATTATTAAAATGGTTCATACATCATACCAGATTGTAATTAATAAAACAATAAACCGTCGTATTATACTAAATTATTTGAATGCATCGGTATAAATTGTACAAAATAATGTAAAAATATACTGTATTTTTTTTTTAATAAAATGTCTATTTATAGTACTCTACTAAACAGTTTATTAGTAGTAAGTATACAACTTACCATTATCAAAAAATAAAGATAACTCTTGTGACTCGAATTTCCCTTCGAGGAAAACTGTCTTCAATACTACACTTAGCAGTTGCTCACTTAGAAAATCCCGTGGATTTTTTTTGTAGTTAAGCTGTTCAGGGACATCCTTTATAAAACTAATTACGGATTGTGACGATATAGAAACTAAAGAAAGCATCGGTAAATTTAATGTGTTAAAAAGGCGTATCTTCAGAAATGCAAAATCGTATGGTTAGTTGAAGCACACTCTCGATTATTTACAGTTGGCTAATTGTTTCGGTAAGATTACGGCACTCATTTATATTTTCATCTAGATAACTTTATATTTGTGTAACTACCTAGTGATTATGTATTTTCCTTTCACAAAAAAAAACTAGGATCCCATTTTATTTAAGTTTTCATTAAGTACCTATAAATATTTTAAATACTAACTATTAACAAATATAATTCGGTTATAATTTATAACTACCTACCTATTTAAAGTATTATCAATACCTATAGCAGTAAACAATATTGTAGTTAAACAATCAAAAAATGTTATTAGGTTATGATAATTTGTAATATTTTGTCTTCCCACGATACGACCTTCAAGTGTGTACAATCATGTGTCATCCTCAAAAATGTTTAATAATTATCATTAATCATTTATCATTGTCATGTTATAACCCACTAAGCAGTCATAATTTTAAACAATAACTAATAATTCATACAGTTTCCTTAGCTTTAATTTGGTAATAGTGTTCCTATTTCAAATAGGTATTATATGAGGCATTTTTTAAGATGTATTATTGTTTAATACGAGTTATTAATGATTTGTTTTGTTGAAATTATTAAATATTTGTGATGTCAGAATAAGCAAAACTAAAAATATTAACAAATGACAAACGTGAATGCGTTGATATCACAAAGGTCGGCTTAAAGATAGAATTGAAACATTGAAATAATAATAATTGACTGTTATACTACAATAATTTTCTGTGAGTGGCTTTAATTTAATTTAAAATCCTTTACTTATTCGAGTTGTGTGCTTTTATAACCGTTACGGGGGGTGAGATCAAACCTTTATCAATAAATAGTGACTTCCTGCGCCTTTGAGTTCTGGCTGGTGGTAAAGGTGGTGGCGTTTGAGGGTTACAATAATAGGAAGATGGCATGACAGATGGTTGCTCGGCAAATCGTTTCCCTATCGTATAAATCACTCATTTTTGTCACTGATCAAAATTAAATGGTTATTTTAATAACAAACGCGGCGGTGGTTTCGTACTTTGGTAACGACGTTGCATCAAACACTGCTGTCGTTGGTGATTACACGTCTAGTACACAGCACTTTCACTTTTCGATTACCTGTGTCTACGACGGTCGACGAGGAGACGGATAAGACGGCATGGACCTTGGAATGTTATGGAAGTGGGAGTGTTGTCCGAGTAGGAGAAATACATGGTGTTATTCTAGTGCAGAAAAGGAGTACTTTACATGGTTGGGAGGGTAAACAGGTTTTTTATTTCTCCTTTTAATTTGTTCGTTATTTTTTCTTCTTATTTTTATCTCGTCACAACCCACGCACACACAACGGACTCACAACAATCAACATAATCTTCCGGGCAACGAATTACATAAACATTTGTCCAAACCCGCGCTCTGTTTAAAGAATCGGTATCGTGGGCATGTTTCCTACAGACGACGGCGACGGTGTTGCTGAACTATTATAGCAGCATCGCTATAGCACACGTGTTAGTTCAATTATTACAGTGAACAATAAAAAAAAAATCCGAATGAACCATTTATGCCATGTGAATCGAATTACAACATTCTAACATCGTCTCCCAACGAAAAGAAATTCGTTTGTCGCAAGGCTGAAGCTTAAAAGTAGATACCTACCTATTTAATTATAATGGTCGTCGCTTAACCTCGCATATAGTCGTATTGCTTTGTGAGCTATTTGGTTTTCTATCGATTCCACCACCCCTTACCATTATGGTAACATTCTGTGTATACTTCATATAGATATTGTATTGATATGCGCTCAAAATTGAACACAGTTTGGAACGATTAAAATTTAATAATAGCATTCAAAAATGATTTTTTCTTTCATCATAATACAATAAGTAAAAACTAAAAATGAGTATATTTTTTTGGCCATCAACCTTCCTCAGGATTTAATATTTGTTAATGTTAATCATTGTAAATGCTTATCGATATATATTATGTATTAATTTTTTTAATTTGCATAACCTTGTTTGATGTGCAAATTTAAATAATAAATAAAATAAAAACAAGAAATTATAGATTATTTAATACGAGTTATTCTTAACTCAGTTGGTTTTGAAGATCTGAAATTTAAAAGTGGTTTAAAAAAGTATAGCTACTTATTTGACATTAAAATGGATTTTCGTAATGTATTGCAATTTGCAAGTCCATCTGAATACCATCTGATCTTGGCCTTGGAACTAAAAACTATGCAATACAAACCTGTTTTCTTGTTTAAAAAAATTATATTCAAATTTACCAACCTAGTTTGGTCAAGATATTTCAATGACAAAAATATATCTTTAATTTATAATAATACAATTTGTATTTGTATTTTAGAATCAGAGCGGAGCGATGAATGTTCTTTTTTTACAAAGATGTGTATTGTTTTTTTATTTTTATTGTTGTGTCTGTCATCATCTTTTATAGCAGAAATAAATGCTTCAATATTCAACTTTGAGAATGGTTTCTGATAACAAATAAAATATAGTTGGTACTTTGGGGATCATTAGAACTTTTCAAAGTAATTAGAAAAAAAAATTCGATATAACAGGAATATTTATGCAACACCAATTTTTGATTCAAAAATTTCAAAAAATATACCTATATCGTAAGGACTTACTTTTTGCCATTATGTATGATATTATTGTCTATAGGTTCACAATACAATTTTCAAAATATTTAGTCTGGTTTTAACTTATTTTTATTACGAATATATATTATATTCAACCATTCTATGTTGACTTAGTTAATAACAATAATATAATATTTTGATGTAAATACATAATTATTATAATTGCAATATTTTTGGTCAAAATAAGTTCAACATACCGTATACACGTTATTAGGATAATAAATATTAAATAATATAATATATTAATTTAAATAAATTATAAAATAAATTAACCATATAGGAATAAAGACTAGCTTAGAATTGTTTTTCGTACTTATACAACGATTTAATCAAATAGATAATTCAAATTTAACGCATTAATTACTGTGACTTAATAATGATGAAAAGGTACACTCAAACTTACTAATAGCATAGACTTTTTCATTTGTTTTTTATTTTTTAAAACAAAACTGCGGTTTGATAACCGGATGAATCTCACTTCACTAATACTTTGGAACAGAATAGTACATTAATAATAATAATAATAATAATATTGCTGGTTGATTTGTTTTGTTGACACTCAATAATTAAAAAAATTATATTTTTCATTTTTGAAGTATTTAATTTTTTTTTAATAAAGGGAGAAATTTGAAATATACAAATTGAATTTCGAACAAGCAATTTTCCTGCGCAATATTTTACAGGTAAATACCATTCCACTCCACCCATCAAAACTTAAAATACTTGATAAGTTATAACTAATATTTATTAACTACCTACCTACTTGTTTGAAAATTTTGTCTTAGTTGGTTAGTTATTAATTTATAATATTTTATAAAATTAGCCATAAAATAACCACTAACAACTAATACTAATATATCATTCTTATGAGTATAATATATTGCCAGTATTGTATATTTAAGGCGTTTAATGTATAATTATTAATTAACGTTTTATTTATATTATAATAGGTATCTTTGATAACTTACTTTGATCTTTATACAAGAGCCCATGAATTAGTTTTGAAAATGGTTTTGAATTTGACTTCTTTGTCTTTGGCTTTTGACGAAATCTATTGGAACTGATAAACACGTGGTTAAAAAATGTGATATGGATAGGTATATATTTTATTTTTAGAAGTATAGTATTTATAGTTAAGCTAGTTTTCAAGGTACCCATTATCTATATTATGAAAATCATATTTCGGTGTACGTAAAATAATATCAAGATTATTTTTAACTTGAATTGAATTATTGAATTGATAAGACATTTATAATAATTACAAATAATTTCAAATAAAACACAATATTATATCTAATATTAAAATGTAATATAAATTGAAATATTAATGATTGGATCTAATGGTTAAAAACATATTTAGTATTTGGTACACACAACTTAATATCGACAAAATAAAACTTGTAAATTGAAATATTAATGATTGAATTTTATGGTTAAAAACATATTTGATACTTAGTACACACAACTTAATATACCGACAAAAATATAACTTGTAAATTGAATTATTGTAATTTATATATTTTGAATATACTCACGGATACGGTATTAAAATAATTTCTTCTGAGGAAGGAACATCCACCCAACCATCATCCTCGTCAAATTTACTGTTTCTGTCCACACTAACGCTATCCGATGTCACACCTTTGAAAAATTATATTAAATATTAAAAAAAGTGGGCAAGTAGATAACCGCTCTGTTGTACATTAGGTGTCAAGTGTATTGAGTGATTCAGAGCATAAAAACATATTTCAACAATATTCAAAAATTTCAAACGCCTATATAGATAGCTTAAAATGAATGTCTGTATAAATATTTTGAATGTATAATTAAGTTTATAAATGATATTCCAACTAATAGTGGAATGTTTTAAGATTTTACGATCAATATCTTTTAAATAATAACTAAATACAAAAATTGGTTGAAGATAAATCTTTATTATATTATAAGTACGTTTGAATATTATTCAATGGTGTAAGGACTTCAATCCCTCTTAAAAATGTTTAATGACTTAAGATTTAACACTAAATTTAATTTTTCTAATTTCCATTAATAAACTTATGCGGAATCTTGTAATTAAATTTAAAACTATATGAAATAATTTGCAAATTTTGTCATTTTTATGAAGTGTATGACATTTTTAACTTTAACCACTTATAAAAAATGTATGACTATGTATTTTAAATATTTTTTTAATACAGTAAGAACAAATTATGAGGAATCTTGTTTTAAATCGATAAACCAAAATTAAATTGTTGGATTTTTGGAATCGACAAAATATGTATATTACATTTATGGTTATTTTTTTTCATAGGTATGAAGAATAATAATAATTTTTTTTATTACCGGATGAAGTGGATTCCGACGGAGGATTGATTCCATAAATGCTGTTGTCAATTTCCACCGAATTATCAAACATCTCTTTTTTCTCTTGGTGGTCGTTTTCGTCACTATCGTTGTCGACCGGAAGTTGTTGTGGTGACGCGTCGACGACTGTGACGGAAATGACCGGCGGCGTTGGTAGCGGGGGTAACGGGGGTTGGACCGTCTCGTAGCTGGTGTCTTCGTAGGCGGTCGTGGCGGTCGTAACAACGTCGTATATATTTTGCTCGCCACCATCAATCGTAGAGTAGTGATCGTACGGACTCTCCAATACGACATATGGACTCTCCAACACGACATTCGGCGCTTCTGTTGTGTGAGTGCCAGAGTCGGTTGACGTTAGTCGTATGTAGCGTAGTTCTTCATAGATGGATTCTTCACCGACGATGTAATTGTAGTTGTGTGAACCGATTTCGGTAGTGGTGTCGGCTGTGAGGGCAGTGGTGTCCGTGGCGAAGCCAGTCGCGGTGAGGGTAGCTTCAGCTAGGGATGCGATTACGGAGTGAGTGGGAGACGCGACGACTAGGGACGACAGTAGTTGCGATGGTTGTACCTCACTGACGCTTTGTCGTCCACCTTTATTGTAGTCAGGCGTGGTTGTGGTGAGGGTAGTTGTAGTGGAAGTAGTTGTAGCGGGGATAGTTGTAGTGGGGGTGGTTGTAGTGGAGGTACTTGTAGTGGGAGTGGTTGTAGTTGGGGTAAATTCAGTGGGGGTAGTTGTAGTGGGGGTAGTGGAAGCAGCGGCGGTTGTCGTCAAAGTCGTCGGCCGTTTCCAACCATGCAGAAATGAACAGTTCGGTTTCAGCGGAAGCGGCGGCGGTGACTTGGCCAGGAGCTGTTACCTCTGTTGGCTGTTGTTGGTTCAAGTCTTCTCGTGGAGGCGATCGCTCTCTTTCCGTCGGCTGCTGTTGGTTCAAGTCTTCTTGTGGTAGTAATTTCTCCCTTCTCATAGGGTGCTGAAGGTTTTTTGGTGGGGGCATCACGTTTAAAATACTCTCTAACTGAGCATCGGGATCTCTAGCAATCGATAACCGTTTGTCTTTGTTCAACAAATGTCTGTCCACCGTGACGGTCGTGTCCTTCTGCAGCGGTGCCCTCCGTTCATTGCGCCTAATACTACGAGTCGTAACGATGGGTTTCGGGCCCAGAACACTAGGTTTCGACGGTTTTTTACCGTTTTCGAACTGCACCAAGAGCTTTTTCACTACGGACGACGACGTTCGCTGGTTGATAGTCTTCCGTTGGTCAGCTGCGGGATTTTTTGTAGCAGCGGGATGTAGCATGGTGATTTTTTGTTCCACGGCAGTCAGATTATCTACGATGTTCCGCTCTTCTACGACAGTTGGCTGTTGTATTGCGATATGGTCTTCCACGGTAGTTAGATGATCTGTGATCTTCCTCTGTTCCACGGCAGACGGCTGTTTTACGGCAGTAAGATAATCCACGGAAGTCAGATGATCTTCGACTTTCCGTTGTTCTGCGGTAATCGGCTGTTGTATGGCAGTGGGATATTCTACAGCTGTCGGCTGTCTTATGGCAGTAGGACGTTCCGCGGCCATCCGCTGGTTTGAGTTGGTCCGCACTACGACCATCTGGTTGATACAACGCTTCTTTTGCGAGGTCGACTCGAACTTCTCGACCGTGGCCCGTACCACGACGCCTTTTTCCCGGACTGTAGTGACCTTTGTCCTGGTTGTAGACCCTTTTGCTAGCGTTTTGTTCACTTTTTTCATGATGTCCTGCATTGAGTCCCCCTGGTTGGCGTCCACCACCACCGCGTTGAACTTTGACGCCAGTTCGGCGACCATGGTGGACGGCACCGACACCCGGATCGTCTGGTAGCCCTTGAAGCTCCCTGTTCGGTTGATGTTCGATCCAGCACCTGCCACGGGATTTGAAACTCGGACGTTTTATCTTTCCACCCCCAGTAGGCAGAACGGAGCTAGTCGTCATTTCTGTGATCATCACGTCGGTCTTTCTAAATCACAAGTAGATCCTTTTTCTGCAGCTCACGTGGACGGGGATCATTATTCCTGCGCAAAAGAAAAATATTTAATTTATTAAGATTTATAAGATTCATACATTATACCTATATTATACTCTACAACATCGCACTAACTTGAATATTAGGTAGGTGGGAAAGAGTTGTTTTGTAGGTTTAAACCGTCCCGGTCTACTATAGGTTACACATTTTATACGTCATTAACTCTTAAAAAATTGGATTTAATTCAACTAAAAAATAATATAAGCCAACTATCTAAGGCATTTGTTTTTCAAATGCGTGTTGCGCATAGATTATTTCTAATGATATTTGTCTTGTTTAATAATTATGTAATACTTTTAAACTTTTTACAATCTTAAACTAATTTAATGCTGGAATCAATTTTCGATATTTTTTTTAGAATTCACTTTAAATCATATATCGATTTCTCAATTTTTTGAAAATTGTTTGTGTCTTTCTTTAAAAAGTTAAACAGTTATTCAAAAATCGACTCCCACAATAACCTAGAAAAAAGAACGATGAATTCAAATATGTTTACAGAACTAAAATCCGATCATTCTAAGTTATCGTATTTTTGTCAGGCTTTTAGGTCTCAATTGATTGAAATTAGTTTCTCGTTGGAACAAATATTTTATTATGTGACATGTGCATGCGGGTGCGAACCACTGATTCCGAACGTATCTACGCACACTAATGATCATTTACTTCGCACACAAATACACTGCGAAACGATTATAATACATTGAATTGCCTATACACGACCCCTTATTAAATCACCGGATCGAATCCCCTTAAGTCTAAAGTGCGGTGAATAACTTAATTTAATTATAATCGTTAGATATTATGGTTTACAAAATTATAAATAACTAATATATTGAAATCGATATGTGTCAACATAATTTTGTCTCGTGTACGATTAAAAAAAAACATAGAAGGTGGTTTAACCAATAATTATTTTACGGACAATTCAAACAGTTACTTGTTAACATATATTATGTATGTACTATGTATATATTTTGTACCTATGTAATGTTTATTATAAAGTCGTATTATATATTTTGTGTGAGAACAGCTGAACAGCGTATTTATTTATGTATACAGTATATTATATTCTGGAAAAATGCAGTTATTCACTCATTTGTTACATAACACATTATAATTATTACACATGTATTAAGGTCGTTGAAAGGTTTCTTCGTTTTCGAAATAGTGGTTTATGACATGTTTATGTAGGTACCCAACCTAATATCTTACCATCGACGAGCTTAAATAAACCATTCTATATAGGTTAATATGTGGTGTATCGAATCTAAGCATTGTATTAACATACCCGATAATGCTTTGATTTAACTAAATTAAATTAATTAAATTATTCGTGAAAAATCATGAATCCCAGAGTATCACATTTTAACAGAATATTAAAACATATTCGTTATGTCAGCATGATGTAATATGTAAATACATTGTTGCGTGATGAACCCTGAAAATTTAAAAAAAAAATTTCTTTTTGCTCATTATTTGGAACAGTTGTAAAGTACCGTTTAGACTTTAATATTTATAAACTCGAACGCGTGTCGCGAGGTCGTCTATTATCGAACCGGACCTTAAAAATTGTGTTATTCGTAGCTAGTACACAAGTCATGTAGTATGTCCGTGTACGATGATAAGGCGATATTTATATTGTCGACACACCTTGGCGAGTGAAACAACTCTAGATGTTGTTGTCGTCGTCGTCATCATTAACGGACTGGTGATAAAAGCATAATATAGTATTATAATGCATATAGACACTGTCGTCACACACACACGGACACACAGACACACTCACACGCAAACTCGTGCCCTATAATACACTTTACGCAGTAGCAATGGCATGGCGTAAGCATATTATTATGTAAAGGAATCCAACTAATTCAGGGGATCACATCGGATGACTTATCTCGTGTTAGTCTACAACTGTAACATCACATATTTTAAAAATAAAATATTTTTAATTATTTAATGATTTGTTATTATTGCTGATTTTTGATATGAATACCGAGCACGGGCGAGCATAATAAATATGTCTGTTTTTGTGTGAAGCATTTAATTTCAGTACCAGTTATTTCTACTAGGTAATAATACAGGCAGGTACTATATAATACAGTGCACACTAGATTCTACTACTATCTTGGGAATCAAGTTTTACATCGTTTCGGAGACTTTAAAATACGTAGACAAATCTATGGTATCTATCGAGTTATCTGATTCCAAAAGTAAATTAATGTATTTTTCATCTGAACCCGATTTTACCATTAAATATTTTATTATAATTGACACGTGTTTGTGATTTCAATTACGTATTTGACGCCTGTATAATAAGTTTTCTGTGTATTTATACATAACGTTACTGGCAGTGGTGAGTGGTGAAACGGCGAATGGGGTTGTGTGCACATATTGCCCACATAAACAGGTAATAATTAATATACATAGGTACACACACACACACACACACACACACACACATACACCAGTGGTGTAACCAGGATTTTCTTGTGTATGTTTGTGGTGGAGGGAGGTAGGGTTATAAATCAAGAAATGTATTTCAAGTTTCAACTACATTGTTTTATACAATTTATACATGTTGACATATTATTGTATTTAAATATTATTACGAAGTAACTATTATAACTCATATTAATAATTAATTATTATTTATAGGTAAGTTATAAACTAGGTTGGTAAAATAAAAAAATGTTTAACGTAAATTATTATATTTACAAAGTGGGTATCGACTATGGTTCAAAGGGAGATGGTGGGGCTAGATCAGCAGTCCATCCCTTCGTTGTGCCACTGACACACACACACACAAGCGGTTTATATTATGTATGGTGATCATTGAACCATACTCGTCTACATCTATATATAATATACACACGTGTTCGTCTGGCGTAGGAGTGATGAGGGCGGCGCCGGTGAGATAACCTTTCGAAGGCCTCGCGCTGTGCGGCAAAGACCTCAGAGCCAATATTTTTGTATAATATTATGATGATGGCGACGGCAACAGAGTCATCGAACTCTACGTGAGCGAATATCAACTCTTTATGACATTAGGTCTCCCTCCGAAAATTAATACACATGCCCGTTTCGGTTTACGCAGAGGCAGCATCCGAACTAGTGAACCGCGAAAAAATTATTTTTTAATTTGTTATCTATTTATTTGTACTCTTATTTATTGAGATTTAATATCAGTCACGTCTTAAACTTAAAACTGACCTACGCCGATAGGTATTTATATCGATTATATAACACCTAAAACAAGCCAAACACACAGTTCCAACCAAACATTTACAGGACTTTTTACTTATATTATATTATATAAGGTCTCTCAGTGGGACAGAGTACTCAAATGGATATATGTTTGTATGTATGTATGAAATTAAATTTAATATACTTACACATTTATGATATGTTTTGTTCTATTATTTTTAAGACTACACGTTTTATCGATTTGCGTCATGTAACGCGTTGTAACAAATTAAAAAAATCACTGCCTCTTTTGTCCACTAGTATTACTCCTTTGTATAGAAACAAGAACTATTGTGGTATGATATAATGTAGTTAAACATTAAATTAATGCCATAAAAATCATACTTGAAAGTTGAAGTAACTGTGCACTTTTGTAAATTATAATTAATCACTAAATAGTCACTAACTTACTAATGTTTAATTTTACCCGCTTTCATCATATTAATTTCTATAAGTAAAAAGATTAATAATCATGATATATATAAATCGATTATCGAAAAATACACTGTTTTTCGAGTAATTAACATTGTTTTATTTTGTAAGCTTATCATTCCAACAATATGAATATATAGTATAATATAATACATGAAGTTGAAATTCGGGGTCAAATATTTTTTGTTGATTTTTAATTATTATACTAATTCCAATGGTGGGCAAGTTAATGAAAATAATTAACTGTGGCCAGTTAAGTTAATTCAATTAAATTGCCTTCAGTTAAGTTAAAAGTTAACAAAGAAAAAAATTTAACTAGATAAGTTTAAAATTATGATGGAAAATAAAATTAACTTATCTCAGTTAAAAAAAAATTAATTTTTTTGAAGGTACAATTTTTTTAAGTCATAAGCTACCATAGTATTTTATATACACAAACATTTACCAAGACATTTAACACTGTGTAAAAAATTAAATTATTATAATTTATAATATATAATTCGAAAATGAATTACCAAAACTGTAAGAAAGTCGAAGAATCAGTATTTCCTAGTTGATTACGCATGACTCAAAAGAAAATTAACTTAACTGCTCGACAATGATAATTAACTATAAAAAGTTAAGTTACAACAATAAACATTTTAACTGAATAAGTTAATAAGTTAAAAACAAAAAAATTAACTAGTTAAGTTAAAAAGTTTAAAAAAAATTAACTTTTTAACTTAACTTTAACTTTTTAACAAGTTAATGCCCACCTTTGACTAATTCTAATATATTTTATTCTTAATATTTATTAAAAGGCTATAAAATGAATACTTTGAATAAAACATAATAATATTATCCATGGCAATAATGAAATAATTACGATTTTAAACCGTATTTATACAATTTATTCCGTAATTACGTACATATTATTATTTTCATTTCACATTATTATTCATCTCGTATACTCAATACACATTGTAATGATTAGTTGCGTGTTTTGTATACTTATTGACTATATCTTTCGACACATAGTAAGCATTATCTATACTATAAGAGTCTGCTGCACAAAATAGTACTGGTTGGACCTCTCTTTCCCACAACAATTTGATTGATAACGTTGTCTCTTTTCAACATAAAGTGCATGTGCACAAATCAGCAGTGCAGCCAACTGTGTTTTTAATTATTTACATTTTATCACTCAAAGGAAGATCGGGCTCCTTGACATCGTTCGAAGGTACATAATATGAGGCGCGTTTCT